GGATTAATTCCTAGCACATCCTACCTGATTTTTTCTGAAATGCAGGCAAAGAAGAGAAACACACACTTTCAGGAACTTTCCCCAAGGCAATCCCCTCACTTCTGGATGCTGTGTCAGCCTGGGAAGGTCAGTCTCGTGTGCTTGCAGCAGGCAGAGCTCTGTGGACTGGACTCAGATATTCTCATTTAAGGTCCTGACAAGCTCAGCCCTTTGGAGTTCACTGTTAGAGATACCAGCACCCAGAAAACTGCTGCTCTTGGAAAGTGTTAATGAAAGGTAATGGAAGTGTAATAAACATTAATTAAAGAAGTAAAACTCTTGTTCTCCCCTAATGAAATTATATGTATACACGAATTTGAGAGGATTTTGGACTAGATGTGCTCAGGAGACCCCTCCCACTCTAAATTATCTTATAATTCTGATTTAAGTGCAAAAGTTTTGTGGAAAAGTGGTAACTTTACAGCTCAGAACCTTCCTTACATAAAGTCAATATGCACAGAGAATTTTCTGTGTCCTGTACAAAACCTACCACGCAACAGAATCTGAAACAGCGACAAGGGAATTACAGCAAAGCTCATCTGTAAAAGGTTCCACATGCACGTTTCACTGAGTCACAATGGAATGCTGCAGCATAACAACAATTGAAATGCCTGGATTAATTTCTATGAAATGCAGAGCATCCCTCTCCATGGGGATGAGAAGTGGCAGCTGCAGGTTTAGTTTCACAGAAGTAACTCAAAGATTTTGATGCAGACTGTGAGGGAAAATAAAAGAGAGTGAGAAATATTGGGGTTGCTCCCACTTGAGCAGATTTCACAATTTCAGCAGTAGGGTAATTTGTGCAGAAACTGAAGGTATAGGCATTATCAATTTAGCTAATGCCTGCCTTTAAAAAAGAAATCAGTTTATTTCTCTACCCAACTTCAAAAAGATTTGTATCACTAATCTATGAGGTACAATGCCATAAAAGAGGGTAAAACAGAAACCATCCACTCTGGTCAAGGTAATACAGCATTACAACAGCAACATTTTAACATATTTCCCTTGTGAAGTAACTCCTCAATTAGTTTTGAAATCCTTTGGCTTGGTATTAAATAATGAATTACTCCATGATGTCAAGTACATGATGGCTGGACTTGATTTACAGTTTGGCTTGATGATCCAAAGGGTCTTTTCCCATGTAATGATTCTATGATCTCTACCTGCACTTGCAGGATAGGAGGAGAGAACACATCTCACAAACATGGCACAGGAAAGCAGCATTAGCCAGTTTTTTTGAGAGGTCTATCTTAATATGAGATTTTCATCTCACAGTTCTTATTTACACATTGTTCCCTGCACAGTTCCACACAGGAATTTCCCTGTCACAGAATGAGTAGCTTCTAAATATTCTATATCCTACATAACATATAATAAATTAAAATTACTAATAGTTCCTAAAATTCAGCTGAAAATTATTTGAATGCCTCCAGGTTTGAAAGAATTAACAGTGTTAAGTATAGTGGTAAGGTATAGGAAAATTATTTTATTTTCAAACCCTCATGTGGTACTAAACCATTTCTTCAGGTTTTTCCCTCCTGAGCTTTTCAAGAACTTTGAGACTAGAAGATGACCTTTTTTTTTTTTTGTCTGCTCGTCATTTAAAGCCATAAGAGCTATTCAAATATACTTCAAAAGTTTTTTGAGCCATTATATTCTCCTGAGCAATCCCTAATCCTTCAGCACTTGAGAACTTCTGAATAAAATATCTGTGCTCCAAACCACCATTAAATCTGTATTTTACAAACTGGCTACATGAGGGGGGAAAAAGAAACAGAAAAACTTCAAAATTATATCTCCCATGTCACTAACTCCTAGTTTAGCCTTCTGGGTGTAGCAGCTACCAGAGAGATTCAGATTAAAAAGCTGAAATTGCACTGAGATTTTTCTAAATCTTGTTCAGGAAGGTACGCAGAAAACGCCACAAATAACAAAAACTCTAACTCTTTGTGTGGAACATACACTTCAAAGTACAAAGTATTCTTCCACATTTGCAGGCTTGGTTCAACCAAAATGGGCAAAGGATAAAAATTGCTCAATCAGGAAAAAAGGAGTTCTGTGCTCACTGCTGCCTTTTCTCCAGGGTCGCAGAGAAGGGTGGGCTGAGCTGAAGGCAGGCAGGAGAACAATTGATAGGGGCTGAGAGAGGGGTATTTTGTGTTATGGAACACAAAATGTATAGTTTCAAAGAAATATTGCAAATCCAATCTTTTGTTTTATTCACATTAGCAAATTTACTTAGGTGATGCAAATAAAATCCTTTAATTCTGCCTACAAAAAACAGTTCTTTAACTCCCTGAGATTTCTTCTCTCTGTGTAATAAAGTGGCTGCTATTTTTGTAGTGCAGACCCTCTGAAATAATAGCTGGTTGAGAAGGACAAAGTTAAATTCTTGGCTCAGTGATAATTATTGTTAAATAAGTAATTTCCTTGTGCATCGATTCCATGGCTGAAGGTAATATTTCACTCTCTCAGTGGGTTGCTCTCAGGATGGAAGCACTGGGAAGTGCTCAAATGCTGCATGGCTCAGGGCTGCTTAGTATCAAGGCAAACATGAAGGAAAACAAATAACTACTCAGAATAGATCAGGATTGCTTGGGTTCCTTTCAATCTCCATGGTTAAGCAAATAGACAAGAAGATAAGGAAATCCTTCCTTAGCATATTACTTCTGTGCAAATAATTAAAATCCTTCTTAAGTTCTAAGTAAAAAGAATAATTTCCTACTTAAAATACGAGAGGAAAATAGATTAGACTGATTTATTTCAGGCAAGAGAGGAGCTGAGTCTCCCTACAAACCTGACAAATGGATTCCAAATACATGATTGTAGGAAAAAGTAGTAAAAGCTAAAGGGATTTCCATTCTCTGAAATACCTATACACTATAACACTGTATATAAGCACTAGATCAGCAAGGTTACAAAAATATCTTAAGGTCTCCATTCCTTTTCCCACAGAATGCAGTAGAGATTAAGAAGAGTCTCTCTCATACATAAAAGATGCCTAAAATCTTAAGGACATTTTGGCCTCCTATTTCCGATAGAATTATCTTAAATGAGGTTTAACTTGGCTTCAAAATAAGAAATGTTGGACACAGACTTGTAGCAGGATTATTTTTCAATCTGTATCACCTTTGTGTATTGAGCTTAGGCTGTTTAAAATGCTCTTCTTTTTCCATAGTAGTTTAACTCTGATTATCATCTTTTAAAATATCTAATAACTGCATGTGAAATATTCCAGTACACACTTAAATACTTTCAAAAAAGTTGATTTCCCTTCTATTTATACTCTAAATCTGTTTCAGTTAAAAATCCATCTTCAGCATTTAGCTCAGGGAAAGAAGGAGAAACTGACTCTACAGTCCAATGCACAATCCTGAGAAATAAACTCCATAAGTGCCAAGAACAGCCAATGCACATTAATAGAAGACTCCCACCTATCAATAAAGATGATTAAAAACTTTGTAAGACATAGGTGTTTTATTTAGAATAGTTAAAAATTAAATCTAGATATTTTTCTCCCCTCAGTTCCAGGAAATCTTAGCTAACAAATGAGAAGTATTCCAACAAGGCCTCTTTATCTATAACATAGCTATGTAGACATTATTATAGACTTATTATACAGAATTATTATATATATTATAGAATTATTATATCTATAGAATATTATAGAATAATAGAAATATTATAGAAATGTTATCTATAATATATAATATGATATATTCTATTTTATATATTACATAGAATTATATATATATATATATATATATAATAAAGTTATGTAATAAGTAACATAGTTCTGCTTCAGTAGCACCCAACGTAGCTGTACTCTCAGTGGCATCATTCCATGTCATATGCAGGATATATAAAAATGTGAACAAGCTCTTGTGAACTGGACATTTCTCAGAGCGCTTGTGGTTCAGTTTACTTGCACAGTAAAATGCAGTCTCACCTTTCCAAACTCAACATTTCACTCAGCTTTCCTCTCAGTCATCTTTCCCCTTTTATCTGCACTTTCCTCTTCCCACCCCTGCTCGTTGTTTTCAGTCCCTCTCTTCAAAGAGAAGATCTTCAGAATTATATTATAACATGAAAAATTTATTCGTTTTATTACCTGGAATGACTGACTGATGTAAACACCCCAAAAACAACAATAACAAAAATCAGCCTAACAGTTTAAGTCTGGCTATTTTTTAATGTACTGAAAATACAAGCTCATGCCTGAAAGCATCAGGCAATCTCAGTCCTGGGTGGTGACACCAGCCATCCTCACAGTGGGCTGTTATGGGTAGCCAAATAAAGAGCCAAATTGACAAAAAATAGGCCAAACTATTGAGCAGTTCGGAACTTTCTTCTGTTTTTCTTATGATAAAGCATGGTTCCTACCTCAGCAAAAATAAGCTACCTGTTATGCATTTGGATAAGAGGTTATTATTTTTCAGAAACTTTGCAATGTGTTGTTTTGTTGTGTTGTGGTTTCCTAATAGTTTATTATTTCACTCAGGGAAAATTTCTAATGTTTTTACAACTTCCTTTGTTGTTTCCCAACATAGAACCTTCTTCTTCACTCCACAATATGTCTATGGCATATTTAAGTACTCTAAAATTATTTTAATACTTTACAAATATTTTATTATTAAATAATTTGAAATACATGTAAATGTGCACCTACCTTTTTTAGAATTTTGAGCTACAGAGGCTGATATAGTGTCAAGCACAAAATATCTCCAAGCGCATACCATCACCTAGTTTTGGATTCTAAACAATAAGCTGGGAAAAATCTTGTATTATTTATGGTATTTTACCTTTATCTTTTTGTCACCAAGGAATTGGAATGACTGCACACACAGAGACATTTTAAATCCTATTTAATTATCGAGTTTTTTATGTGAGACAGTTTGACCACATAAGATTTAGCAACACAAAGACTTCCTTCATCAGAGCTATTGTGATGCAGAATATAAATGAGTGAATTCTCCTTAAATGAGCAGTGGAAAACTGAAGTTCTGCCTCTTTACTCAGGAACCTCAAGCCTGCTACTTCCTTCCAGAAGACTTTTAGAATTAGTGGTGGAAGATGATGTGCGCTTGGAGACGACCAAGCCAGAGGGAAGGCAGTGGCAAATGGTGTTTCCTGGAGACCGAGCAGCAGCAGAAGGGGAGGAGATGCTGGGAAGCTGCTGTGAGGCCAAGCTGAAAGGGGAGCAGGATGATGATTGCTGCGAGGCCGAAGTTCATCCAAACTCAAAGCACCAGGGAAAGCTGAAGGGCTTGGTTTGCAGCCAAGCCCTGACAAACTGAACTGTGGAGGGCAGTCTGTGAACATCATCAAAAACCAGACTCCCTCTGACTCCCTGACACACGTCTTCCTTCTGCAGGACTAATGAAGTAGCAGCAGGAGCAAGGAGGAAACCCAAAAAGGATATAAATTGAGTGTAAGCATAAAAAAATATAGACACTGGTGACTGGAAGAACATTGCCTTTTCAGGATTCTTCAGAGGGGATGTTGGAGGGAAAGAGGTTATCTGTAAATTAGCATTAAGACAATCATCCTGTATCCCAAACTTTAGAGGAGAGCAGCTGATGTTCTGCCAACACTGTGACAAAGGCTCCCACAGAATTCTGCTCACTTACCCTAGGATCAGCTTTGTGCACCAGGAGCAAAGCTCAAGGGAGGTACTTGAGAATTCATCTGTAACTTTAAAAAAAACCAAAAAACAAAACCCTAAAACAAACCTCACATAAGCCTGCAGGAAGGTAACCTCTGGGCATGCAAATTTACACTTAGTGCACTTTGCTGGACAGGGAGGTGCCTTGTTCCTGAAGGATACAAGGAGTACAGTGACAGAATAGAGTGGCTTAGGTGGCCCAGTTTGAAAAGGTTGAGGCAGGGCACAGCTCAGCTCTGCCTGGTGTCTGGAGAATCCTTCCTGTAACTTTTAGAAAATACCTTACACCTGGCTCATTCCATTGTTAAAAGGAAAAAAAAAAACAACAAAGGAAGCCAAAAAAAAAAAAAAAAAGAAAAAAAAAGAAAGCTGAGTAGTACTACTTTTAGCCATAGGAAGTTTCAGCAGCCTGCAGGAACAAGGCAAGAATCATCACAGAGGAAACTCTGCTGGTGGAAGAGCTTTTATGAATTCCTATGAGCCTTCAGCTTTCTTCCAGCATCTCCTAGCACAGCCACTGCTCTGACAAATAATTCTGAATTCCAACGGTATAGAAAGCATGTGAAGATTGAAATCTGACCACAGTAATGCTAAAATAATGAAGCAGTGAGAGTATTTTTATAACTCCCTAAACATTTTTTTAGTTTTATAGGGTTTTCTAGCTATTTGAGTAGTACCCATGACTGAAATGAAAAATAGGAACAGTATGTATTTGTAAGCACTTTTACAAATCTTAAGGACTTGGTAAGTTCTCAGAAAAAGCTTTACTTCTCACAGCTGAGGTCCTAGTTCAGAGCAGCACAGCCAGGTTACCTTTCCATCTCAGCCAAAAGGCTGTGGTTTCAAGCTGGCAATTAAGGAACTCTAAGAGGCTCAAAGTCCAGACAAAGAGCCAGAAATTAGGATATTTATCTGAATATCCTGTGACTGGATTCTCTTAGGATATATAAGATTTTCTGCTTCCACTTGTGACTAAAACACAACACATTCAAGCCTTGATCATATTTTATTTGCAGACTTGATTCTGGCTACTACTTAAGCAGGTTAACAAAAAAAATTTTTTTTCTACATTTCTCAGTATTGTGAGAAGGCTGACCTCAGACATGGGCAAAGCTTCTATCATGATTTCCAAAGTGGTTTGCCCCTCCCAAACTGCAATCCTGTCACAGCAGAATGGGTACAAGTTGTCCTGCTGCCTGACACAGAATACTCTGGACAAGACATTGAAGATAAACATTATGGCATCCACAGCAAAGTGAACTCATGAGTTTTCTGTCCAGTCCCCCTCTCCAGGGCAAGGGATCTGACCAAATCCAGCATTTCCTGCATACAGAATGCACTGAGCACCAACCACTCCCTCTCTGCTGCTGTCACCAGGGGATTTGTGTCCACACATGGTCTATGAATATATGGAACCTCATTAGTCAAATCAGGCCTGGGACACTGAACGAGCAAACACTGACATTTCATCAAACCACATCATTTGGAAATAAGTCTTGGATCCCTTATTTACTGAGTCATAATAACAAGAATGATAATCTCTACAAACTGTTTGTGCTATACTGTGATTAGCAAATTACTTTGAATTGCTGAAAATATGAGTCATGTTACTTGAAGTCAAATAATACATCAGAAGGACCCCATAAGGAATAAAAATCTGCAGCCCTTCAACACCATATCTACTGGGTGATTCAGAAATCAAACGTTTACTATAATGCTCCAGAATAGTTCTCATGTTTTTATTTTTCTAAGATCACTACTTTAGCCATGTTTTTGCTGCTTAACCACGTGGTGATAATCTACAGTTTTAGAAAAGGACAAAGAAATTTATGTGTCCAAAAGACTCAGTGCACATATCTTTATGTGTTTGAAATTGAGTAGTACCAGGCTATTCTCCTGTTGCACGTTCAAAGAAAATAACACTGGTGGATTTGCAACCTGATTTACATTTTTGTCTTTTACTGAACAATTTAAATAAACTAGTAACAACAAAAGATACAGATTTTAAACTTTTCCATTAAGAGTATTTGCAAAAGCAGATTTGTGTGCCTGTTTTTTTCATTTTTGGATCAAAAATCTATTTTTATTAAATGTCTGTGTAGAAAAGAACACAGCTACATCTTGGTTCAGCAAAATAGGAGTTAGCATTTGAGCTATAAACTGGCATTCTTGGAATCTCCTGAACTGGAGGTTTAAACCTGTCAGGAATAGAAAGCAATCTTAGACTAATAACACTGAGATTTTCCAGTATACTGAAATATAAATTTTCTTCTCTTTTGTATTCTCCTACTTTTTTATGTCTTAAATAAAAAACACCATCTTTCAAGATGTGTTCGGTGTATTACAAATACCTCACTTGAAAGTCAGTTTCTAAAACTATGGATTAACATTGGCTGTAATCTGAACATTTTCACATTTACTTAAATTTATTTCATAAGAACATTTTATTGCCACAAATTTGAAACATGGCCAAGAAGTGTTAACTATACCTCTCAGCAATGACCTGTATTGGGGAAAATAATTTATCTTTTGCTTTATTTAATGTGTAGAAGTTCATGCCCATGAACTGGAAAACAGCTAATGCCATCCAAGAGGCCAAGCAATCAGGGTGGAATGACAGCTTTCCATTTACTTGTCTTACCAGATTTCAGGAAAAATAAGAAATCGTCATCTTCAGAATTGCTACATAAGCCTGCCTAAGTGCCAGCAGAAATGGCTTAAATGGTGTATTTAGAGGTGTTTTCATATTCCTGAACATTAGCCAACAGCTTATTTTCTTCATTAGAAAAATGTGAAATCACCTCTTTAAAACCCCAAAATACAAAGAACAATACATTGACTAACCTAGGACCAAATACAAGATTAATAAATGTTTTTAATTGATACTTCAAGAAAAAACTCCAAAGAAATAAGGCTTTTAAAAAATGTTGAGACTGATAAAATTAGAAGGCACTGACACACTTTTAAAGTTTTTTAATAAAATGTCAGCATTGCCTGAGACCTGTGTGCCAAGTCATGACCATAAGTGAACTTCTCTGGGTGAGTTATTAACTCCTGGAAATTGTGAAAGTGCTGACATGACTTTCACAATAAAAGTACAAATGGACCATACTTCACATAAACTGCTATCCAGATGCTTCAACAAGTAGTCTATTATAATTTATATACTAATGATTAACAGGATTTGGCTGTCAATACAGTCTTAAGGCATATTTTAGAAGTATAAATTGTGAGTTTTGAGGGAAATCAATATAATGGGCACCAAATGTAATCCTTTTTAATGTAATAGCTTTGAAATAAATCAGGAAGGTTTCTGAAAAGGAGATGTCTGATTATACATTAAACTAAGGATTTATCACACAAAATAGCTTCTCTTGTTAATGAGTAGCCTGATGGGTGCAAATTCAGCTGGGGTTTTTGCCTGGAAAGTGTTGAGCACTGCTCAGGGCTCACTGGGGTCTCTGGGAGTTAAGGGATGCCCAGCACAGCATGAGAACATGAAAGCCCTTCCAGAATGGAGAACACAGAAACTCTGAAAACTCTGCTCAAAGGAAGGACTCTTGGCAGGACTTCCCAGAGATTGTGCTGTTGTATAGAGGCAAACTTTTACTGACTTACAGGGAAAGTGAACCTTGCAAAGGGCAGGTTTTTATAGCTGTTGAGGCACATAGCAAAGGCAGGCTGATCCTGGTGGGCCTTCCAGAAGCACTTATTTCATACTGCAATCAGTACATGTTGGCCTGTAATTCTGAAGCCTCTATCATATTCCTAGACATAGGAATATGATATATTCATGATATATCATGATATATCATATATGGTATATATACATCAAAATAATTTTGAAATACCACTTTCCAAAATGTAGACACTTATAAATGGCAAATTTTCTCTGGGAAGTTCTGCTATAACACATTTATCAAACATATTTAATTTCCTAATTAAGACAAATCAATTCTTTATTTTTCTGTTGTTTTACAGAAAGAATGCTGGAGCATAATTCCAGAATTAATAAAACTTAGCACATCTATAATGGAAACAAACATTGTCTTCTCCATTCTCTCACAGTACAGGTTTGATATGCTCTACACTAAGGGAAAAGCCCTCCTTACTTTTATTTGATATAAAGGAAATCAAAACCGCATGTTAAAATGCAGTAAATTATAACAAACTCAAATAAAGTACATTTAAACAAATTTAGTTTATATTCTTATATCGATTTTTGTAGTAAAATGACTCAAACGGCCACAAAAGACAAAAAGAGAAGGGTCTCGCACAAGTTCCCCTGCTTTATTCTGTTTTAAAGTGCAGACAGAAAGCATCTATAGGGATGCAAGGCTCTGACTCTTGAATGTGTACAGATACTTTTATACTAGCTTGAGTTCACAACTAAGACTCCTTTAATTCAATGAGTTTAGATTGTAGTTCTGATCATGCTCATACTCACAAATCAGAATTTTGACTGAGTTTCCATGGGAGCACTATATGTCCCTGTTTTACTTTTAGAAAAGGCTATGCCTGTTTAAAGAGGACAATATGTTTTAAGTTACAATAACTGGAGCCAACACTTCCTAATTTCATTACCAGAAGAAACATTTACAGCAA